GCCGCCAGGCGGCCACGCCGGGGCGAAGGCCAGGGGCCAGATCGGCCCACCGGGGCAAGGGTACCTGGGCCGTTGAGGACCCGGCGCAGCGCGGCCACGTGAGGTGGGGGAGGGGGCTATTCGGTGAGAGGGCATGATGGGGGGGGTTGGCGGACGGCCGGGGGGAGGGGAGGCGGCGTGGCTCCGGCCTGGCGCAGTCTCTGAGGAGGGGGCGGTCGCGGCACCGGAAGTGCCCCCCACGGGAGGCTGCCCTCGGGGTCGCAGGCCGCATGGCCGAGCGTGGACCGGGGCCGCATGGCAGCGCGGGGACCCCTCCCCCCCAGGTCCCGGCCACCGGAAGCCCCGAACGGCCACATGGTCTGCAGGAGCCGGCAGCCCCTAGCGCGGGGAGAGCTAGCCCTCGCGGGGTGTCCTAGGGGGCCTGGGATTTTGAGAAGTGGGAGAAGCCGGAGGCTCGGGTCCTGATCACCCCGGAGGGCATGCTGCTGGCATATGTTAGCGCTTCCCAACCTCAAGGGCCCCTGGAGCTTTCCTGCAAAACCCTCCTGTGAAGTGTGGCGGCCAGCCAGGTGTAAGTGGCACTCCTTCGAGCTGGGAGGCCGGAGAAATGGGGAAACTGAGGGCGTTTGGACAGGAGCCCAACTCTTCTGTCGGCCCGGGCGGACAGCGCCTTAAAGTCTCCGGCAGATGAGTTTCCCACCGTGATAGGCATTCTTCACCTTGTCACTGTCTTCCCGTTGTAACTGGTTTGGGAGTTCCACGGTTTCGAAGTCCTTAACTCTACTAGCCTAGTATGATTTTCTACTACTCACTACTACCAACCTTTTGCTTTCATTTTATTGTCATTCACCACCCCCCACCTCTCCCACTTTCTACTGACTGTACTGGCCCGGCCTGAAAAGCCGACAGGACAGATGCATCCTGGGAAAAGTGGGAGGGCCTTCCAGGAGAGGCTGGGTTCCTGGGTTCTCTTTGGGAACCAAGATCGAGGTGTTTGGCAGGGGGATCATTTCGGAAACAACTTTGCTTTCTCCCCCTTGGCTTGTTGCAAGTGCATGTTGGTGAGGCGGGAATCCCCCAAAGAGGCCTTGTGGTTTCCTGTAGCAGTGACTGGTTTGTGTGTGGATGGAGGGGGGGCGGTGTAACAGATGGGTGGGGCCTTGTCCTCCGGTCTCCACCCTCCCCCCCCACATTAGCCCTGCCCTTTTGCTGGATCATAGCTGCTCACCTAATTATAGCCCTGGCTGTGTGTGGGGAAGAGGGGTGGTTGGTTTCAGTGGCAAGTAACACCTGAGTCCTCCCCCCTCCCAGGAAGTAGGCCTTTTCTCATCTCTGAGATTTGACATTCCAGCTCCCTAGAGCCTTCCTTTCCCAAGCCACCACTCTAACTTTGATTTATGCGGGAGAAACCAGCTATTCCACCCTCCCATACACACACCAGTTCTTGAGTATATTTGAGCCCAGTCAGTATTTTAAGTTCAGGAACTTTGACTTTATTTTAGGTGGGTAATGGAATAAAGAGTTGGGAAAATGTTTCTAGAGAGAAATGGGATAGATTGGAGGTCCTGTTAACCTCCATGCTTATTCACTTCAGTTCTCTTCTTGGCTCTAGTTGGAATCGAAGCCTCTTAAAATGGCAGATGATTTGGACTTCGAGACAGGAGATGCAGGGGCCTCAGCCACCTTCCCAATGCAGTGCTCAGCATTACGTAAGAATGGCTTTGTGGTGCTCAAAGGCCGGCCATGTAAGATCGTCGAGATGTCTACTTCGAAGACTGGCAAGCACGGCCACGCCAAGGTTAGAATTTCACCTCCACATCTTGCCTTCCCCGTGCCTCCAGTATCCTTGGCGCTCCCAGCAGCAAGCTGCCAACAGTGCTGACTTTCCTTTAACTCTGCTTTTACTGTCTGATTCTTTTTGTTTAGCACTCAGCCTTCATACCCATTCAGACAACTACACCTGCTCCCCAGTCTTCAGCCTCTTGTGTGGTTACCCTTCTGTCCCCCCATCATTATCTGGTAGTCCCTCCGTTTCTCCAGCTTTGTGCCAGTCTCTTAACTTCAATTCATAGACCTTTATGCTCTAGCTATTCAGTTGCTCCTTCCTTATTCTTGGTTTTCACTTTTTCTTCCCTTGAGCCATTGTAGCTGGTTGTTTCCATCACGTTGCCCAGGGTTTCTCCAATTCTACCAGGATGTGGCCTTCCCCTGGAGGGACTCCTGTGTTAATTCTGAGCTTTCAGATCACCTTGCTGCTTCGCTCCCCAGTTCTAGCTTTCCCTTTGGAACTCTGATGCAGACTCACACTGCCCCTACCTGCCCCATCCCACTCTCCTTGGGTTCCTTGAGCCTCCATGCTGTCATGGGTTTTAACATTCTTGCTAGCACTTCCCTCATCACCTCAGATTTTTCCTTTCTCTTTAGAACTTCAACTTGGTTCGTTCTTGTTGAGTTTCTTGTGGTGTTTTTCCTTAATCAGTTTTTCCATCTTTTGACTTGACACTGATCTTGGGTTATTCCCTAGTGTCTGGATCCTTCTCTGTGCTCTTCTGGCTTCCTTATTTTCTAGCTACATAATTATTTCTGATCTCCTTGCAAGTCCTTCTCTTCAGCTCTTTCACATTTCTTATTTTCTTATCTTTCCCCTTCTACCTTCCTTATTTCCCAATTTCTCAGCTCCTTCTCCTGGTGTCCAGAAAACTCTTCCAAACTTTTACCCAGACTCCTCCCACTACCCTAGACTCCTAGCATCTTATCTTTTATCAAGGTAACCGTCTTCTCTAAGCCTGCCATGCAGTTTTCTCTTGTGCTGTCAACCCCAATCTCAACGGTGGTTTTTTAGTCTCTGTTGTTTTGTTTTCTTTAAGAGGCTTTACTGTTTCTTGAGTTGACTGGTTCAATTCCAATACTCCAGTCTTTGCCCCAACAATGTAGTCTGACTTCCCTCATCAGGCAAGGTCACTTGGCGCCTTTGTTTCCTCCGTCTTAAGAGTTCGGTTGGGTTTCTCTTTGTGATGCTCACATACAGGTCCACCTGGTTGGCATTGACATCTTCACTGGGAAAAAATATGAAGATATCTGCCCATCAACTCATAACATGGATGTCCCCAACATCAAAAGGAATGACTTCCAGGTATGTAGATGGTTTGGATGAGGATGGGTTAGCCATTTATGGTGGAGGGAGAAGTTGGGGGATAGGGACTGACCAGGAGAGCTTGTGCTGGGAGAGGAAGGAAATGGCAGGAGAGGGTATTTGGTATTAGTTTGCTATCACTCCAGTTTGTCTATCAGAGCCTTTACTCTCAGCCTCCCTGGGCATACTACCTTCAGCTTCCTTCCCTATCTGCCCCCAGCTGATTGGCATCCAGGATGGGTACCTATCACTGCTCCAGGACAGTGGGGAGGTACGAGAGGACCTTCGTCTCCCTGAGGGAGACCTTGGCAAGGAGATTGAGCAGAAGTACGACTGTGGAGAAGAGATCCTGGTATGGTGCCTCCCTGCTTTTTCTTTTCTTTTTTTTTTTGGAGATGGAGTCTTGTTCTGTTGCCCAGGCTGGAGTGCAGTGGCGCGATCTCAACTCACTGCAAGCTCTGCCTCCTGGGTTCTCGCCGTTCTCCTGCCTCAGCCTTCTGAGTAGCTGGGACTACAGGAGCCCGCCACCACACCCGGCTAATTTTTTGTATTTTTAGTAGAGACAGGGTTTCACCATGTTAGCCAGGATGGTCTTGATTTTCTGACCTCGTGATCCGTCCGCCTTGGCCTCCCAAAGTGCTGGGATTACAGGCATGAGCCACCACGCCCGGCCCCCTCCCTGCTTTTGTGCTCAGCTTTGTTCTGTACGTTTCTTCCTGAGCTCAGACATCTCCTGGCTATCTCTCTTGCTCCTCCAGATCACGGTGCTGTCTGCCATGACAGAGGAGGCAGCTGTTGCAATCAAGGCCATGGCAAAATAACTGGCTCCCAGGTGAGTGTGACAAATCCCTCACTGTCCCCTTCACATTTTGTTGTCCTCAGCAGATCTGCTCTAGTCTTAATTGTTCCAGGCTTACTTTGTGCTCCTAGCCTGGCCCTGTCCTCCCTATCCTTCCTGTTGAAGGTATTATCCTATCTTACTAATTTCTCTCTCCTACCTAGGGTGGCGGTGGTGGCAGCAGTGATCCTCTGAACCTGCAGAGGCCCCCTCCCCCAGCCTGGCCCGGCTCTGGCCTGGTCCTAGGCTGGACTCCTACTCAATTTATTTGACGTTTTATTTTGGTTTTCCCCACCCCCTCAATCTGTCGGGGAGCCCCTCCCCTTCACCTAGCTCCCTTGGCCAGGAGCAAGCGAAGCCGTGGCCTTGGTGAAGCTGCCCTCCTCTTCTCCCCTCACACTACAGCCCTGGTGGGGGAGAAGGGGGTGGGTGCTGCTTGTGGTTTAGTCTTTTTTTTTTTTTTTTTTTTTTTTTTTTTTTTTTTTTTTTTTTTTTTTATTAAATTCAATCTGGAATCAGAAAGTGGTGGATTCTGGCAAATGGTCCTTGTGCCCTCCCCACTCAGCCCTGGTCTGGTCCCCTGTTGCCCATAGCCCTTTACCCTGAGCACCACCCCAACAGACTGGGGACCAGCCCCCTCCCCTGCCTGTGTCTCTCCCCAAACCCCTTTAGATGGGGAGGGAAGAGGAGGAGAGGGGAGGGGACATGCCCCCTCCTCAGGCATCTGGGAGGGCCCTGCCCCCGTGGGCTTTACCCTTCCCTGCGGGCTCTCTCCCCGACACATTTGTTAAAATCAAACCTGAATAAAACTACAAGTTTAATATGAAGCTCCCAACTCAGCTGCTTATTTGAATTAAATGGGTATATTTGGAAGCCACAAAAAGACTGAACTCTGCCACTGAGTTCATTGGAACCCGCTGTCTATCACTGACTTGCTGTGGACCTGCCAGTCATCCCCCCACCCCCCAAGCAGTCTTGACCTATTCCAGACAGTTGGGTGGGAGGCAACACAAACAGCAGCAGCCAGGGTCAGTGGCAGGTAGATTTTATTGGCCTGGGACACACGGGGGGCACCCTCACCCACAGTGGGGCGGGGGGCATGATGTTGAAGATATAATCTGATGGTCACTTGTGGTAGAATCGCGGGTTCTGGCTGTGTTGGATGAAGGGGAGTCGAGGGCCAGGTTGGCTGGTAGCTGCAAAGCCCGACTGGCGGTGGTGATGAAAAGAGGGCTTTGTCACTGGGCATACTCTCCCACTTAATGCCCTACTGGTAACCACCCCCAGAGAGGAAGAAAAACCAGGTGATGTGGGCCACCAGTCCTACCTAATCCTGCTTTTCTGGATCCCTAGTGTAGGGATTCTGACAGGTAAAATTACCATTCTTACCTTTCCTGCTGGTTGCATCTGCACAGGGAGCTGTGGGGAAGCAAGGAGTCCAGGGGCTGGATGCAGAGCCTGGGGGTGCATGGGGCGCAGAGAGGACTGCAGAGAACAGAGTCAGGGCCTGAGGCACACTGAAGCTCCCCTTAACATACCCCTAACCCTGACCTCCCAAGGTGCCATACTCACTGAGTCGGAGAAGCCAGTCTGCTGGTTAGCATGTTCCATCTGCTTTTGCAAGGACAGGGCACCACCAGGCTGGAGGAAACCTACGTGGGGAAGAGGGGCATGTGAGATAAGAATGAAACAGGGAGGGGAGGACCCAGAGAGCTAGAGCTCCTGCATGGGATGTTATCACCTGTCTGAGTGGGCTGAAAGTGGCCGTGCACGGCATAGGGCTGTGGCTGTGGCTGAGATAGGTACTGCACTGCAGGGAATGCTGAAGGAGCTGAGAAAGGAAAAGAGAGCCATTAAAACCTTTTACTCAATGGCATCCCTCCTTTGACGCTGAGGAAGGCCAAGCCCCATCCCTCCTATTACTCACCTCTGAGCTGCTGACTAGGACTGTAAGCTGGCTGTGTGGGCCCATAGTGAGGTGGGGGCTGAGCAGTCCCATAGGCACCACCAGGACTGCCTTGGAATTGTCCATGCTCTGGTGTCCCCGCAAAAGCAGCTGCTGAGCCCACATAGTGCCGAGTCTAAGGAGGGAGAATGAGAATTCGCCTATAAACTTGAAAGCTGAAACCCAGTGACTTGTGTATATCTGTATGCCCTGTTTCCCCCTAAAGTGCTTGATATGTTTGTGACTTGAATACTGGTGGCAAGGATGCATGGATGGAAGCAGTAGGGGCTGGGCATCCAATCCTACTCTCACCGTAAGCACTTGGGGTCCAAACATTTGTTTGGCTCTGTCAGCTGCCATGAGGGTGCCTGGGCGATTGTGTCCTCCAGGGCTCCCTAGAAAGGGAGAAGGGCTTCATGATGCTGAAATGGGAGGCTGCAACCTGTAAGAAGGCCGGTTCCATCAGGTGGTCTCTTTAGTCCTCACCCTGCATGCTGAGGAGATGAGTTCCTGTGTGGACGGTCAGGCTCTGCTGGTATGCAGCTGATGTCAGGGTGGTCAGGTCACTGGAGTGAGAGGAAGGCAGGTCAAAGCCAAGGACAGATGCCTTCTCTTTCGCCATTAAACACTAGTTCTTTTATTACTTGATCCCAGTTCCACTTGACCCCCATTTCAGTTTTTAGCACTCTGATCCCACCTCTGTTCCTTTCGCCTCCGTTTTTCTTCCTCATGTAAAACTTTCTTGAGCTGCAGGAAAAGCTGATGCTTCTCTTCCTGTAGGGCCAAAAGCTTCTCCTCCAACTTCAGAATCTGGGAGGGAGTGGGAAGAGAAGATGAAGGCAGGGAGAGTCAAGGGAAGAAATCAAAGCTGGGAGAGTTCAAGGGACTGCTTACTTGTTCCTTGGTCTCCTCTAGTGACATTCTCTCTTCCATCTCCTTTTTCTTCCTTCTCTCCTGTTCTTCCTTCATTTTCTGTTCCATCATCTTATCCACCTCTTCTTCCTCTGGAGAATCAGGCACAATGAAGAAGAGGCAGGGTAGTGAAAACAGTTCCAACGTTAGATTGAAGACCAGCAAAACCCAGTCATCCCAACACGCCTGTGCGCTCTTTGCCTCGAGGGGACAAGCTCCCCCATCGCTGCAATAGGGAACGGAGAGGCTTTATCAGGTGCTCTCCAAGGTCCTTCCCGTCTCAAGGGTTCTGGAGCGTGGACCAGGACGCTTAAATCCCACCACAACGGGGCTATTCCTTCCCTCCTCTGCACTCGGCAGCGGGCGCACTGGTTGGCCGCTGGGTTGAGGCCAACCCTGAGGTACAGGAGCCATTCTGGGCCGTGTGTCCCCCCGCTATGGCCCCGGCTCACCCTGCCGCTTGCGCTCCCGCTCCATCATAATGTGCCGGTGCAGCGCCCTGGCCATGGCGTTGGAAAGCTTGGGGCGCTCCAGGAGTGCGGGCATGGTGCTGCCGTGGGCTTTCGGGCCGTGGGCACCCGGCTCTGTCTCTGACTGCCAGACCTCAGACGGCGCCTGCGGGGAGGCTGGCGCTCAGAGGGGGCCGCGCCCGGCCCAGGCGGAAGCCCGTCCGCCCGACCCGCTCTCCGCCCCGGTCACGTGTCCCAGGAGCCCGCCACCCGGCCGGGTCCGCAGCCCCCGCTCCACCGCGCACGCGGGCGGCGCCGGGATCCCCGACTCGGTGCTGCCGGTCCCTGCCCAGCCAACCCGGACGCCAGCCCTCCCTACCCGCCTTCTCTGCGCTTTCTCAGCAGCTCCGGCGCGCCCTGGCCCGTGCGTCACATCCGGCGGCCCGGCCGAGTCCTTCCGGAGTCACGGCTGCGGCCGACCTCACGGGTTGGGTGAGAGAAGGCGGAAGCGCGCTGCGACGGGTGCCCGCGGCGTCCAAACCCCGTGCCGGGAACGCGGGCGACGAGGGCTGTAGACTGGTCTTGGCATCCTCAGCTCTCTTTCGCGGGCCCACCTGGTGGCACCCCAGGGGACGCGGGCTCCGGAGAGGGGCGCGCGAGAGAGAGGCCGAGGCGGAGGCTCTGAGACGGTGTTTATTGGCTCCTTAGAAATCAGAGTCAGTAACAACTGTACAGAGGCCCCCACCTTCCGTGCGCCCACCCTTCCCCACTCCCGCCCGGTGGCCCCGGAAAAAGCAGCTTCATGTCGGCACAGGGAGAGACTCCTCTGGGATTCACAGTAACCAGAAACAAAAACGGAAATAAATTAAGTGATGTGGGGAAGGGGAGTAAAAGGGAGTCATGTTCCCCAAATCAGTGCATGAAGAGGGGTACCAGGGCCTGGAGCTGGGCTCCCACGGCTCCTCCCATCAGACGGAGTGCTGGGCCTCCAAACATGGAGCTGTGCCACTTGCCACCTACATCTGAGAGCCTGCCTACATGCTCCTGCGCGGCTGCCAAGCTCCAGCACCTGCGCATGCCACGAGTCACGGGAATGAGGTGGAGGCAGTCGCCAGAGTCCATGGGCCCGAGGCCCAACTGTGCTTGTAGTATTTGTGTCTCACCCCTCATTCCACCCGTACCAGCAGGGCATAGAGGAGTGTGGCCCCCTTCTCCTTAGTGACCCACTCAAGTTCGGCTGGACTGAAGTGAGGGTCAGGAGGTTCTCCAAGGGCAGCGGAAGGGGGTCCCGGGGTGTAGGAGCCAGGGCGCACACACACCTGGAACGCCACCTGAGCCTGGTGCGTCCGCTGGGATTTGGGGTCCCGGAATCTGTCAAACAGGAAAAAATAAGGGAGTGAAGCTTCTCTCCCTATCACCTCCCCCTTGCAAAGTCTGTTTCAACCACACAAGCCTTGCTGTACCTAGGAAATACTCCCGCCTTATAGGAACTTCACTCTAGCTGTTCTTTCTACCTGAAACGTTCTTCCTCCCAAAGCCTGCTCAGCTACACCCTTCACTTCCTTCTTCAAGCCTTTGCTCGAATCTCTCCCACCTTCTTACGATGCCCACACCAACCACACTGCTGTCTCCTTCGCCCCACTCTTTCTTTGTTTCCATAGTCCTTACTTATTACCTTTAAAAATACTAAATACTGGCCGGGCACAGTGGCTCACGCCTGTAATCCCAGCGCTTTGGGAGGCCGAGGCGGGTGGCTCACGAGGTCAGGAGACCGAGACCATCCTGGCCAACATGGCAAAACCCTATCTCTACTAGAAAAATTAGCCAGGCTTGGTGGCACACGCCTGTAGTCCCAGCTACTCAGGAGGCTGAGGCAGGAGAATCGCTTGACCCCGGGAGGTGGAGGTTGCAGTGAGCCGAGATCACGCCACTGCACTCCAGCCTGGATGACAGAGCAGGACTCCGTCTCAAAAATAAATAAATAAATAATAAATACTTATTATGTATGAACATTATAGAGAGAAAAGGCAGAGGTTCCACAAGAGCAAGGTTCCTTTTCTTGCCCACTAGAAGAGTATATAAGTGGTATTTGTTCAATGAATGAAAAAAGGGCTGAGTTGGAGACTGGCAGCTAGCAAGAGGAGGTGAGAAAAGGGGAGGGCAAATCATGAAGACCCCAGTGACTGCGCTCAGGCCCTTTCATCTGAGCCCCTGGAGATCTCTCCCCACCCCTCCCAGTACTCACTGCACTTTGGAGGCCAGGGTCTCGGCCCCAGCATATTGAAGGGAGGGGGAAAGCAGCACAGGAGGCGGCTGCTCCTCCCGAGGAGGTGCACAGTTCTCGCCAGGCTCCTCAAACCCTACCCCAGGCTCTCCCTTCAAAGGACGGCAGCTCAAGATGGAAGCAGTACCTGGGAGGAGAACTGGGTCAAGATAGCCCTTTTTATTCCTCCACAGCCCCCCAGGCTCAGCCCACCTTGCATGGGCCTGCTCCCCAGTACCTGCTCCCAGCTCCCCTCGGTCCAGCACTCTCCGTACAGCTGCAACATTGCTCCCATGATAGGCCATGTGCCACTTCTTGGTTAGTGTCCCAGCCTCCAGGCGGGGATTCACTCTAGGAGGTGGACAAGCGGGGCAGATAGAACAAAGGACACTGGCTCCCCAGTGGAGGAGCTTCACGAGGCTCTTCCTTAGGCAGGAAGTTCCTGGCACTTCCTGGCTTTTCCTTAGACAGGAAGTTCTGTCACTTCTTCCATGCACCTTCTTGGGATCTCCATTTCTCCAGGGGGAAAACAGTAGGGGAAAGGCATGACCCTGCCCGTATGTACCTGAGGTTGAACCTGCACCAGCCAAAGGGCAGTGCGTATTCCCGGGGAGGCTCCCCTCTGCGCCTGTGGGCCTCGTCTCCTCGCAGCTTCCGGCAAGACTCACAGTAGCACAGGCTTCGCTTTGGCGGAGGCATGAAATAATCTTCTGCGGGACAGTAAGTAGCAGGCTTGGTGCTGTGGCTCCCACCCTTGATCTCAGCCACACTGGCACCCTTCAGCTGCTCTCTCCATGGCTCTGGGCCTGGCCCTGGGGATGAAGTCAGTTCTGGGGACCGGGACTCACCAGGAAGCAGCAGGAGTTCTCGGAAGCGAGAGCAAAGGGCATGGTACTCGCAGCTCTTTAGAGGACTAGTGGCGGGTGGTGGGCCCCAGCACACACTCTCTTTGATACCTGAGGGAGCAGAGGGGCACAGGTCACAGGAGTTAGGCTAGAAGGGTAGGGGCAGGGGAGTAGGGGCAGGAGCTGGGTCCCTTTGGGCTGGCACACCGTCCACCATGTCTGCTTTCTCCATGTCCCCTTGGGTTCCAGCACTTTTCCCACTGGCAGCCCCTGGCTCAGGGTTCACGATTGTCACCTGCAGGGGAGAGGATAGTCAGACAGAGCTTGGTCAGACCCCAGGGCCTGCTGATCCTGGAACAGAGACTTCCCCGTCCTGGACGGCCCAGACTCTTAGGCACCCCTCCTCCCTGCCCCCACTGCCACTAACCTGCTCACACTGCCCATAGAGGTCCACAAGCGCGTGGCAGGGCTGGGGCACATCTGGCACAGCTACCCCCTGGTCCACCCCATTAACGTGGAGATGCAGCCCCCCAGAGCTGTCCAGCCGCAGTCCCAGGATGGTGCCTTCAGGGCACGTGTCCAGATTCGGCCCAAACTTCTCACAAATCTGGGAGGAGAGACCGGCTGTCTTCCAGAGGTCACACTCCACCACAGCAGCCGTCCTGCCCTTTGCTGTGCTTCCTGCTGCCAGCGCCTTGGCTTTGCCTCCACGCTTGCCTGCTGCCGAGAGTCTCCTCCCGCTGCAGTTACCTAGAGCCCCTCCTCTTCCCCAAAACTGGCACATTCTCAATGGCAGGGACACCGCAGGAAGCAGCAGGCCTACAACTGACCAGGCAATGCCACTCACCCTTACCTGCCCATTACTGTCCCCCTTTTACACCTGCGGTCCTACCTCCAAGGCTAGGGGCCCACTTCTCCCTTCTGGCCAGCCCTTCCCTACACACAAGCCTGGTCCCACCCCTTCTCTATGGCTCCTACTCACCTTGAGACCGTTGTGGAAGACCCCACGGCCCCGCAGCAGCCAGGCTGCCCGTTTGAGGGCACAGGCAGAAGCAGGGAAGTTGAGCCTCTCAGGCGCGCAGGTGATGACTCCCAGGACAAGGGAAGATGTCCACTGTCGGTTTAGGAAATCTATCCGCACCTGGGGAAGAAGGAACTACTCTATAATCACAGCCTCCTGGGAAGAACCAGGCTCGCCCCCGCCCCCGCCAGGGAGGGAATACTGCACCTCCCAGAATGTGGCCTGGGATGCTGCCTTTTCTTATGCATGGAAGGACCAGAAAATGCAAATTTAGTTGTTTCCCTTTTTTTTTTTTTAAATAATAATAAAAAAAAGAACCATCAGCCGGCATGGTGGCCCACACCTGTAATCCCAGCACTTTGGGAGGCTGAGGCGGGTGGATCACCTGAGGTCAGGAGTTTGAGACCAGCCTGATCAACATGGTGAAACCCTGTCTCTACTAAAAATACAAAATTAGCCAGGCGTCGTGGCACATGCCTGTAATCCCAGCTACTCGGGAGGCTGAGGCAGGAGAATCGCTTGAACCCAGAAGGTGGAGGTTGCAGTGAGACGAGGTCGTGCCACTGCATTCTAGCCTGGGCAACAAGAGCAAAACTCCATCTCAAAAACAAAACAAAACCAAACCCTGTTTGAGCCGTGACCTTGCTGTTGCCTCTGTAACGATCTGTCAGGATTCTTATTCATAGGACTTCCTTCATCTAGCTAGCTTTTTTTTTTTTCTTTTTTTTGGATTCTTTATTCATAGGACTTCCTTCATCTAGCTAGCTTTTTTTTTTTCTTTTTTTTTAGAGACAAGATCTTGCTCTGTCTCCCAGGCTAGAGTGCGGTGGCATGATCTCGGCTCACTGTAACCTCTGCCCCCCAGGTTCAAGTGATCTTCCCACCTCAGCCTCCTGAGTAGCTGGGATTATGGGCTCGTGCCACCATGCCTGGTGAATTTTTATATTTTTTTGCAGAGACAGAGTTTCGCTATATTGCCCAGGCTGGTCGCAAACTCGTGAACTCAAGCGATCTGCCTGGTTTGGCCTCCAAAAGTTCTGGGATTACAGGTATGAGCCACTGTACCTGGGCTCATCTGGCTAACTTTGATATATCTTTCAGTTTGTAGCAAAAAGGCACCTTCTTCTGGAAAGCCCTCTCTGCTCCCACATATAGGATCAGGCATTTCCCTTGGACTCCTCCAGCCTGTCCCTACTGCTTCCCTCACCAATCGCCAGGTAGGGACTTCGTGGTAACTGACTGACAAACCCCATTACAGGCTATGAATAAAAGCCCAGAAAGCTCATCCAAGTGGTTTGCTTTCTTTTTCTCCACCCAAAAAGGCCTTTCTTCAGGAGGGTTGGCCATGGGTCACTGTGGAGCGAGAGGAGCTGGGGACAGGGAGGGAGAGCCCACCTGGACCAGCAGCTGGGGCACCAGAGGCTGGTTGATGACAACGATGCCCTGATTGTAGCTGGCCACCCGTGTGGCTGTACGGTTCCCA